AAGGCCATGCATCAGATGTCACCTAATTTGTTGTAATTATAAGCATACATTGTTGTATAATCTTACTTCCTCTTTTTCTTGTTGAGGGGATGAAGATTGAGCTATGAAAAAAATTCAGATCAAACATGCATGTACTACTGTATAACAAAAGGCAATTAGTTTTGCAGAAGTAATACAGACAATAAAACCAAAATGATAAAATTTAGTGAAGAATATGAATTAAACATGATACAAAATTTGTGACCAAAAATAAATACTTAGCATGACAATACCATAAACACAATGAATGAGTGAGTAAGTATCAATTATTCAATTATCACAAAATTAAATCTTTATAGTATTTCTTACCACTTCCTGCATTAGTACTATTAGCAATGGGAGATGGACCAACTGCTGAGTCAGAAACAACAGCAGGAACTGAACCACCAGGAGATTCATATTTGGGCAAGTTATATCCATCTATGAAAATACACAGTAAAATCATGTATTCATCACTGCATGTGGCCATGATGTGACTATTCTTGCTGGAATAACATTGACTGTGGCAAAAGTACTCATTACTAATTTCTTTTATACAAAAATTTAGTGAAAACCAAATCTTAAATTTTAAAAGTTATTTCCTTGGCTGCATTCTGCATAAGCACAGAGTTAGTATTAAACAGTATGAGTACAAATTTGTCCAGAAAACTTGGTTGCACAATCTACCCACTGCCCAATTAGATCTACCTATGCTAGGTCTAGAAGATGTAACAACTTTAGCTTGTGTAGATAGGCCAGATCATTAGTTGTTGCAGCATATTTATTTTTATCAAAACATTCACACAATAATGATAAATAACATACACTTAGCATAGCTTTGAGAAATAGTGTTGGCTGCTTTCTCAGCAATGAGAGTGTCAATCTCTTTAATAATACTCAAGAATCCATCAATATTTTCTGGTAGATCACCAAGAAGCACAGCCACCCTCAGTACAAATGCTTCTACTCTTGCTTGTAGTGCTTGACCTGAGAATCTGTCATTCAATTGAGTTAATTCATCTACTGTTATTAGTCTCCTTTCAACACATTTCTGTGCCACTTGACGAAACACAGCTTCACTATTGAGGACCCTATTTAATATTCCTAGGTTTTCCTTAATAGCTTTTTGTGCTGGAGACTCAGTTGAAGACATCTTTTCACTATCACAGGAGAGTCCTTTGTTCAATTGTGGTCTAAGGTGAGGCTGCACTGTAACTTATATAGGCGGCTAGACTCGACTCACAGTCACATATCATAGATAGTCTATGGTCACATATGTTAATCCAATTATAGGCTTGATAGAATTTACTATCACTGTGGCACACTGATATCCTACTCTACTGATAGAGCTTCTTATCAAGATGCAAGGTTAGTTTGTAATAGATGTAGTAAGGTAGAGTGTAGGAAAAATTATCCTGAAAAGCTAAGAAAACTGATTAAAATAAAATTATTTTCTACATTGCATGTGTATAAAATCATTGTAAATCTATTTCATGATGTATGTAGCGTAGTTTATGGTTTGATCCCATTTTAATTTTTTTGCATGTGATCAACATGAATATACAATTAGCCTAACCACAGACTACGTGTAGATCTGTATGTACATGTGTATGAATATGTCCTTAGTGATTAATTGTGTTCTATTAGTAGGCAGTTGGATTGGAAAGCATGGCATTTATTATTATAACAGATTCATGGATCTCTTGAAGCAAGATGCATGTTTATTTATTGTTAAGTATAATGCATTGGCTATAATCTGTATTACTGTATGATTAATTTTTGTACTATGTTGACTCACAGGCTATTAAATAAGGTTTATTGGATATGATTGATTTTTAATGTTGTATGAGAACATGTATATGTATCAGAAAATGTAATAAGAATTGTATCATTGCCATGTTTATACGTCAAATATTTGTTGAGCAACTTTAAAAATCTACTGGCAAGAAGCTGAAGACTATATATGCCAAAATCTTGTGGGAAACTCTGATGTACATTTCTCAAAATAGTAATGCACATGCATGTACATGTATTCAATTATGTATGTATTAATTCAATTACTTTCCTTTCCTCTTGCACATACAAGCAATCATACACACACACACACTCGGGCTGGTGAGCTATTCATTAGTTCTGATATGATAAAGGAAGGGATTGATATGTTCATACCTGGAGAAGAATGGGAGAAAGCTAGGAACTGGTGAAGCATAATTATTATGCCCATACCTTTAGATGGACACATATAGCGTATTGTATGTATAATGTACATGTACTTGTGAATGGGTATAGTCATTACAGTGGTTTATTTGTTATTTCAGGTGTATGTAGTATACTCTAAAATTAATTACTGAAATTTAATTATATACATGTATAACATCTGTCTATCTCCTCAGGGTCCCAGTGTATTATTCAAATATGTGGCATTATATGCAGCTCATCTGATAAAGTCCAATGCTTCATTGTCAGCTCTTAAACTCTTCACTACATATGGGGCTCCTCCTTTACCTCAGAACTTTAACATATACAAGAGGCTCTGCATGGAAGTGTTTGGAGAGAATCTTGAAGGAGGGACAGCTTATCCAACCTACTCTAGTCTCAGGAATATGTTATTCTCTATTGTAAGTACCTGTTAGTATACAGTACTGTATATAGTAATGTGCATACATTAATACTCATGTACATGTACAGTATATCTTGGAAAAATTCCAATTGTAAATTTGTGCTATAATTCTATGGAATATAGACACATGCAATACACACAAGGATCAATGCATACATGTACAGTGTACAGTACAATGAGCATACATGTAGTATGTACATGTATGTGTTCATGCATATTAAGTTCGTGTGCTGAGTTTCTGATGTACAATGTATTATTGAATGACATACCGTACTTGTGTTGTATGTGTATTATTGTGTATGTACATGTATAATGTTTTATCATTTGATTTCTTGTACTGTTCCTTTATACTGGCAGGTTGATGAGCTATCACGTACATCAGAGTCTGGCAGTTTGAGTTGTAGAGAATTTGAGCAATATCTATGGGTATCACATTATCTTGCTACTCGATCAGCTTGCAGTAGAGTACCACAGCTCTATGGTATAGTAGCTAAGATATCAGTATCACTCCTACGACACACTGATGTCATACCTGCTGATAGAGCTTTCTATCAAGCTGGGATGTACTGTAAGGTCAGTATTATAGAGTATGATAGGAAAAATAGAGGAGAGAGAGGGAGAGTAATGATACCATACTCACCCCAATTAATGCACCCTCCTAATTATTACATCTTTACATGGCTTCAATAATAAAAGCTTAGCCTCCTGGTCAAGATAATTATATCTTTGGGAGGTGTGTTATAATTAGACATCTGTTTACAGGCATGTACATTGCTATGCACCTCCATCTCTTCCAGCTTTCATTCATAACTGTTCCAAATCTAAATAATGCAATCTAATCATTTCTCAAGAGGTGTGTTAATTGGGCCAGTATGGTGACATTATTTGTGCACCAAAGTATTTGGATTATGTATGCACCTGTACCTATTTAGTGATTAATTGTGTTCTATAAATAGGCAGTTGGATTAGAAAGCATGGCATTTATATTCTATAACAGATTCCTGGATCTCAGTGAAGTAAGTATAGCCAAGAGTAAAGCTATGATGATATTACTTTTAATTTTCTAATGTCAGGCTATTGAAGAGGGTTCATTGGATATGATTGATAACAGTGATTTTGTTGATACTGATATTCCATTTGAAGTACCACTGCCAGAACAACCTTTCATGACAGTAAGGAATCATACATGTACAGTACAGCTGAATTTGCACTCTCATAAATTATATCCTATATTACAGAAACTTTTTAACGACCTGGGGGCGAAGCCCCCAGGTCGTTCCTATAATTGAATTCACCGTCGCGCTATCTATATAATATATATATTTGTATGTCCACACTTACATTTCTTCTATACATGTTGTATTGGAGAAATAACAAGCCTTAGCAACCACCCGCCCACGCTCCTTTACGTGAGTGGGTGTGGTCACGGCAAACAAAATGGCGGCTTACACATGGGACAAAGTTAAGAGCTTTCTAACAGCAAGAGAGCATAGAGATACTGTCTAAAAACTTTTCTAGAAGCATTATAAGGTAGAGAGAACCTCTATAAGTCTTAATAATGACCAAGTTGTACTTGCAAGGTGGTGAAATCAATTATAGGAATACTTTTTACCCTGTTACGCTTGTTTAAAGAAGTTATCAAACTACTATTAGCTCACTCTCTATTATAGATAATTTTTATGCCTCTTATGTCAATTATTTTTGCTTTATGTTTACACAATATACTAACACTTAACATATGTACATGTAAACGTACCTATAGGATTACATTATAAAGTGCTTCTGTTTGTTACAGGAGGATAAACGAGAAGAGATTAAGGAATGGGTACTGGCCCTCTCCATGGACAGACAGGTGACTCATAACAGGAATCAATCCATTACCTTATTCCTTTAATCCAGGTGGAGCAAACACTACCACTTGATGATGAGAGACAGACTTATGTTGCATCACTGACATCACCTCATACTGGAGTCACTTCATTACCTTGCATTGTAACAGGTCAGGTACTAAGGTACATGTACATATACATGTGTACCTTTAGCCAAATATCCTCTGGGCAACTTTGTTGTTTGGTATATGTACATGTACACGTACTTTATTTTCTGTTGTGCAAAAAATCCTTTTTCTGGCAGCAGTGTCTCAGTAGAGATCAAAGTATAACCACAGAGTTGCCTTACGTACTTGCCTAGGGGATGGATTTGATCTAATCTATAAGTTGCCTAGGGGATGGATTTGATCTAATCTATATGTAAACTGTCTGGGATGCAATAATTATGTATGTGTGTAGGTTATCCAGTATTGAAGCAAAAGGTTGAGTTTAAACGAGGTGGGAGGTGTGCTAACAAAGGGGACTGGACCAAGTTTGTTATGAATACAAAGGTCAGAATTATAAAGTCAGGAAACTGAAAATAATTTTCTCTCTCCACAGGCATCTCAAAATGAAGAGTGCTTGGATGTTGTTCATTTTATAACCAAGTGGTGCGGTCAACCTCTTAATCCAGCTCACACGTTCTAAGACAATAAAAGTTTACTGCATATGCCATTAGCAGATACATCACTTAAGATTATTTTATCAAAAAAGTTTTTTAAAAAACATTTAAGCAAAATTAATTGTTTTGGAAGTAGAAGTAGCCTCACAGAGTGCTCCTTATTTCAGGCATCTGGTGATATATGCACGTTTCTGTTTTGCCATCCTTTACTATTTCAACTGTTTTGGGCTCACCTGCCACTTTATGATTAACAACTAGCAGTATCCTGTCAACACTAAGCTCTGATTCATAATCAATAATGGCATTAGATAAAGCTGTAATGTAGTGAGAGCCAGAATACACACCTCTCAATGCTTTATTGTTCTCCACTGTACTGAAAGCAAAGAGGAAACCAGCTAGCTTTTGGAGGTAATGCAATAGAGCGACCATCAGGAGCCATTATCTCCTCTTCTTCTCTGGAACCGGAAGGAATTGATAAATCAGCCACCATTCGCTCTGGCATTCCAGCCCCTTGACATGCTTAAAAGATGAATAATATTTTTGGTTTCCCATGCATCTGGTCACAATTAACAATATTCACCAGTTCAGTGACAATAACTGTTTTACCATCAATCCCTGCTGGATTACTGTGAGACAGGATACAGCAAATGAAACTATTGTGGATGGTGGACATACACGAGTGACATCTTTCTCAACTGCTTCTTCAATAGCTTCTTTCATTGTATCAGCTTCCAGGTTTCTCTTGGTAATAACTTCGTATCGACATTTGTCGAATCCTTTTTAAGCTTTTCTTCATCTTTTTTGACGAATCTCGATTTGGGGTGAAATTTAACAATGTTAACAATCAATACAATGCCACGATTCCTTCCTGGGTTGGTTGCGTAAGATACACAATATCCTCATCAGGTTTTTTTGGCCATGGCCAATCATTGGTTAACTATTAATAAATATAAGGATAATAATCATCACTCATAGACTTACAGGCTCCTCTAATGACCGCTAGATTTGGTAGCTAAAATAATGCATACACTTGATTCTATGTAATGTACCCATTGTACTAATTACCTATGCCAGGAGGAGAAGGTGCAACTTTAGCTCGTGTAGATAGACCATTATCAGAATCATTAGTCGTTGAAGCATGTTTATCCATAGCACAACATTATTGATGCAATGATGATAAATAGATCTTCTAAACATACGTTTAGCATAGCTTTGAGAAATATCTTCGACTGCTTTCACAGCAATGAGAGTGTCAATCTCTTTAATAATAGACAAGAATTCATCAATATTTTCTGGTAGATCACCAAGAAGCTCAGCCAATCTCAAAACAAATACTTCTACTCTTGCTTGTAGTGTCTGACTTAAGAATCTGTTATTATGATGAGCTAATTCATCTGCTGTTTAGTCTCTTTTCAACACATTTCTGTGCCACTTGATGAAACACAGCTTCACTATTAAAGACCCTATTTACCATTCCTAGATTATAATAGATTTTTGTGCTGAAGACATCTCCTGATTCTCCTAACTATATGCTTCACAACTTCAACCATAGATATTAGAGTAAATGAAACAGCCCTTTGTTCAATGTGGTCAGGCTCAGGGAGGTACCCAATGATTTTATGTAATCTATAGGCTTTAAACAGTGCCCACAGTGCAGTTACTCCAGGCTATAAAATTCATAATTCCATCTCCTGGTGTATCAATCATGCACTGAAATTGAATTTTTGGAATTACAACTAGATCTACCTCACTTGTTTTCAGTATGCAATCTAGTAAATTATTTTTGGCATAAAAATGGAACGAGCTTGCAAGAAGCATCGAAAAGAATGCAGCAATAAAAACCATAACACAACTATTAAAGAGTAGCATTACAATAAAATCATGAAAAAATTCACACTAAAATCCTTTGGCTGCAAAAATAACTAAAAATAAAACACTCAAGCTACTTTTTAAAGTAAAATTTTCCCCTCAAAGTGCTTCTGATCTCGGGCATTTGATGATACTTGTACGACGTATTAAAAACAATAGTATTTCCTGATACTTTGTAATTAACGAGAAGTAGGAGCTCATAAAGACTAAACCTGGAAGAATATTTGGAAATAAATTCACACAATGCTTTTATATATTGTGAACCAGTTTCAACACCTCTTGCAGCAACGTTACCATCAGAAGTGCTAAAACCAAACAAGAAATCAGCCTCTGGTGGTAATGCTCGAGCAATACCATCAGCAACCATCTCTTCTTCTTTTGGAGGCCATTGCACAGACGAATCAACAACTAAAGGCTCTGGTGCTTCAGTCCCTCGACAAGCTTGAAAAAAAAAAATTTTGGGCTTTCCACGAAGTGCTGAACATTTCGTAGAAATTACACTTTTAACCAACTCAGCGACAGTAACAGTTTCACCATCAACTCCTTCAATCCCTGCTGGATTACCATGAGACAGAATGCAACATATGAAACTATCATGTTTCTTGGTTACTGACCCAGCAGCAATTCCACTAATTGTTGTCTTTATTTCTTCAGCCGTTAAGTCATTTTGAACTACTACTTGATAAAGAAGGCCCTCAAATAATTCTTCTAATCTTTCAGCATCTTTATCTGATGATATACGATTAGCTTTATTTTCATCTTTAAAGTAGACATTATTTATAATCAGCACGACTCCATGTTTTCCTGTCTCGTTGACTTTATACTTGTACATAATATCATCTGCAGCCTTTTCTTCATCGTTCTTTTTCTCTTTTTTTGATCCAAAACCCCATGCATCAGATGTCACCTAATTTAATGTAATTTTAAGCACACGTCATTGTACTATCTTACTTTCTCTTTTCCTTGCTCTAAAACTTGAGGAGATAAAGATTGAACTATGAAAGAAAAAAATCAAATATTCACTAAGGCATGCAGACATGCATGTACTACTGTGTAATTGCTATAGGTTTTACAAGAATAACATTTAGCAGACAAACCAAATACTACCATTACAATGATAATCACCAATCATTTTGGTACAATTTAGTGGAAAATCATGAATTAAACATGATACAAAATTTGCAACCAAAAGTAAACACAGCAAGGCAATACATAAATACAATGCATGAGTAACTATCAATTAGATCTATCACAAATTAAATCTTTTCAGTAGACTATATCTTACCACTTCCTGCTGCATTAGTAGTATCAATGGGAGATGGACCAACTGCTGAGTCAGAAACAACAGCAGAAACTGAGCCACCAGCAGATTCATACTTGAGCAGTTTGGGAGCTGGACCAACAGAGTCAGCAACTGAACCACCAGCGGATTCATATTTGGGCAATTTATATCCATCTATGAAAATACAAAGTAAAAATTATTTATGATTGGATCATGTGACCATGATGTAACTATCCTTGCTGGAATAATATCGACTGTGGCAAAAGTATTCATTGCTAAATTCTTTATACAAAAATTGAAAACCAAGTCTTAATTTTTTTAGCTATTCCTTGGCTGCATTCTGAGTAAGTACAGAGTTAGTATTAAACAGTATGAATACAAATTTGTCCAGAAAATTTGGTTATATAATCTACTCACTTATGCTAGAAGATGGGGCAACTTTAGTTTGTGTAGATAGGCCAGAATCATTAGTTGTTGCAGCATGTTTAGTTATATCAAAACATTTACACAATAATGATAAATAACATACACTTAGCATAGCTTTGAGAAATAGTGTCGGCTGCTTTCTCAGCAATGAGAGTGTCAATCTCTTTAATAATAGACAAGAATCCATCAATCTTTTCTGGTAGATCACCAAGAAGCTCAGCCAATCTCAGAACAAATGCTTCTACTCTTTCCCGTAGTGTTTGACGTGATAATCTGTCATTTAATTGAGTTAATTCATCTGTTGTTATCAGTCTCCTTTGAACACATTTCTGTGCCACTTCACCAAACACAGCTTCATTATTAAGGACCCTATTTAATATTCCTAGGTTATCCCTAATAGCTTTTTGTGCTGAAGACTCAGTTGAAGACATCTTCTCACTATCACAGGACAGTCCTTTGTTCAATTGTGGTGTAAGGTGAGGCTGCACTGTAACGTATATAGGCTGCTAGACTCTACTCACTATGGTCACATATGTTAATCTAATTATAGGCTTGATAAAATTTACTATCAGTCTATCACTGTGGCACACTGATATCCTACTCTACTGATAGAGCTTCTATCAAGATGCAAGGTTAGTTTGTAATAGATGTAGTAAGGTAGAGTGTAGGAAAAATTATCCTGAAAAACTAAGAAAACTGATTAAAATAAAATTATTTTCTACATTACATGTGTATAAAATCATTGTAAATCTATTTCATAATGTATGTAGTGTAGTTTATGGTTTGATCCCATTTTAATTTTTTTTGCATGTGATCAACATGAATATACAATTAGCCTAACCACAGACTACTTGTAGATCTGTATGTACATGTGTATGAATATGTCCTTAG